TGGGAACCATAGCCGCCTACCGTTCGGGTGAAAACCTGATTAGAGGGAACCATTTATTTCCTAGCACATGTCTGTACTCTCTCAGTGAAACAGTATCTTACTGGGAAATTCCTCTACCACCTCAACTTCTCGAGAGGTATCAGTATTTCACTTATCTCGGTAATTCTTGTCTCCTCAGATTCGAGCCAAAGACTCCATTAACCCAACTCGATATGGTTCCTTAGGGAACGGGAAGCCGTCGCCTATCCTTCTTTGCGCTCTAGCTGTTGGCGTTAGAGATGCAGGGCGACTGGGGTGGCCTCTCTGACTACAGTTTTATCACCGTTCAATTCATTTCTGAACTTTACAAACCAGGCCTGATCTACTACTTGGTTGGCTTTTAGCGGAAGCAACGCTAATCAGTTTGCCGGCATTGTCTGACTACATGACGACGTGGTAACCGTTCACATCCAGGCTTTAGATCTTTTTGTTTCGTCTCCAAGGTAACATAAGGCCTTGTCTTGCCCCATTCATGAGATATCCATTTTCTATTTTTCCAGTTTCCATCCTGTGGCATGTTGCTCCCCGACGTATTCCATTACAGTTGTCTTCTACAGTCCTCTAGCCCCTTCATTCTAGGATTCCTCCTAAGCTCTTCCTCTAGATCTGGACTTCTTCTTCCTGGCACAGTCAGTGACTCGGAAATTTCCTTCTAGATCTTTTTTCCGAATCAAAATTGCCAGTTCATGAAGCAGAAGATACGCTCTAACTGAGCTTTTGTTCATGATCATAGAGTAGTAATTTAATGAATTAAATCCATCTGACTCTACTATAGATGTCAAGTAAACTGAATGCACTGCTTATAGGTGCTCATTAGAGCGAATATTTGATTTTTGCCTCACAAGGGGATTCAATAGGTAATTTGTGATCACGTTGGGTAATGACTGTCTCGTAGTCAGGCATTAATAAAGGTCAGGATTCATCCCAGAAGCGCTCAGGTGCAAAACGCTCAAAGGAATTGGGAAAACGTCAAATTGGGGTTTTTGGGAACAGAGTTTTCGACTGTACTCGAGATAGTGGGGAAGTAGCTTCGGGGAGGGTGCATAGCTTCAGACTAGTTCGTACATACTATCTGTATTACTGTAGCCATACGAGTTACCACATTGAAGCGCCCCTGTACCATCCTATACTGGGATAGCTTTACGAGCCTGACTACCATGTTCGCAACTATACCTGTCACCGAATGGATTGAGGCCAGGAGAGCCTCCCCAGCTGCTAACCCATTGGGAATGGGGATGAGTGAGGGAGGGGTGAGGGGGGGGGTCATTTGCAGGTAACGAAGGTGTGCCCATCCCACAACATAATATGTCTAATTGGATCAATCTTTGAATTGTTTACTGGCATTTTCGAGTGGACTATGAATTCCAATAAAGAAAACAAATCATATATTCACTACTCAACTATTATTGTTAACGTTACTTACTTCGTACTGCGTCTGCCCTACCGCGAACTTCACCCTAGCCAACGTTGTGGCTTTGGAGATCTCCAACACAACACTCGCATCGACATTGAACTCTTTGCTAAGTGGGGCGGCCAGCAGAAAATCGTCCGATGACATATCTTCAACCTTCAATAGGTCAGTCTTAGCAATCAAATCCGATCAACAGCTAAATGGCTTCTACTTCAATCCTAACTGTTACATCGTTGGGGAGGTTCTCGGATGACCTACGTCTTTGAAAATGCTAGCTCCGAAACTTCAAACAACGGAAATAAAACAATTGTAACCATGAGATAAGGTGTCGTTGGATCCACCTGGGTCAAACTCTTTAAAGGGAACACTGACTGAATAGACGTATAACAGAGGTAAAAGGGGCCTTTCCAATGACAATGGGCAGCAATTGTCAGTAGGAGTTATGTTCTGTCTTCTATGACTTGAATTCTTCCCACTCAAAACCGTCCACGACCAACTCTCGATTAATCCCGTCCCACTTACTGATTCCAATCAAAATTTTTCCAATCTATCGAAATTATTTAAATTATGCATTATAACGGCCGGAGGTGGTGTAGTGACAAGTGGCGCATTCCACATACGCATGTTCACGGATTCGGATCCCGGATCGGTATCCGCCTGGGCCAAACAAAAACTCCATCCCTTCGGGGTCGGTTAATTGGTATCACTCGCCTGGGAGGATAAAAGCACTGATTTAAACACCGGGCCACTTGCAATTCATTTTGTAGGCTAGATACGCATTCAATACGCCACTACGATTCTGAATGGAAGTCGAACGCATGCCTCAGGCGGGATTGATTAACGCCCCAAAGTTTTATCCTTTACTCCTTATTCCGACCTGGGTAAGAAAAATGTCCCCAACAGTTTTGTTTTTAAAAAAGTTCTCTGGGTTAGGAGATTATTAGGATCAGTTTTGTAAAAAAAATCTTATCACAGGGAATTTTACCTTTTTCAATTTTCCATTAGCCATCTGGATCAACGTGCCCTTCATGAAATGAGATGGGATGTAGTTGTTTGTTGGCATTCTGCCCATCTCAAATTCAGGCGATTTCGGTTGAATTGCTGGCTTGTCCATCTCAGCAGACGTGCTCGGACGACTAAATGTCCATCAATTGGTAAAGCATAACCCTAGAAAACTACAATCGAAAGCAAAAAGTTTTTCACAATTTGAGTTGCTCTGTAATCTAGAGGTTGCAGCGGCACAGAATGCCACAGATTGCCATTACAATTAAAGGCATAGTTTATGATAAAAATGGTTTCTGAGTTTTCTCCGTTGGGATGAATTTGAGTCCCTCGCGTATACCATACCTGGCACTATTAGGTGGGAAAACCGCCTAGATAGGGCTTCATAAAAACTCGAAGATTGTCGTGTATAAGCGGACGAGTTTCAACGGCATTGTAGAGTCTGCACCATTCTCAAGGGAACCCATGTAGGAAGTTCAAACAACTTGCCATGACCCATAGCGACAGTGAAGGACAGTTCTGTACAGTTCTGGCTTGGTGTAGTCAACTCTTTGTACAATTGCAATAACTGAAATTTCGTCCGAATACCCTTTCCGTGTTATTTCCGTTATGGCAATCTCGTCCAAACTATATTTTCCCTACTTTTGAGGAGCCATATTTTTCTCGAAATCGCACTCGCTTTTCTCGCTTTCTTCACTACCGATGAGTCTATTCCCAACTATACTTCCGGTTCTCAACTAAAAACTGGTGCCTCAAAATTATCGTGAACTGTGCCTTTAAGAACGAGTCATTAACGGCTAGCCAACGGATTGGTCACCCTCCTTTATGGTAAGGGGTCTGTTGGTGTCCGCTCTTTTTTGTGGACGTTTAAAGAAAACCAGAACTTCGAAAACCCACAATGCTTCGCCTTTTGGGCTCCTCCGATTCATGAATACCCCCTGGAAGCGCCGTAGCTATACACTCGGTAGTAGGTATGATTGAGGTCAATAAGGTTCGCCAACGCCAAGAAGGAGCATAGTGGTGAGACATTCATTATTCTCAACATTCGATTAATCCCACAGAGTTTTTTTTTATTGAGTTTTTTACTCGTACTATAACCCAAGAAGAAGGGAGTTATCAACAATGAGTATAGGCAGTGGCTGAACGAGCGATAGGCCCTTCTCATAGTAGAGCCTTGAGCGTCGACCGGTGGCGTTAGTGCTCTATTAATCATGTCGTCGGTCGATACCGCAAGAGTCGATGGTGATCGAGTCTCAATTAATCACCTTTTTCAATTTTTTATATATGAATTTGACATTTTTCTCCTTTGTCTACTACGGTGTAACGCGAAGAACGTGCTGTACGCAACTCTGCTCGGTAAATAGCATGCTCGAACACAAAAACGGTCAGTGGAGGCGCGAACGCTAACGCGGTCGACGCTCAACGCTCTACTCTAAAAGCGCTCCTACATATTTGGAGTTTTTGACTTAAACAGGATAATGAGAAACGCTGTGATATCGGTTAATATCACGTGATATCATCAACCCAAGTCTAGCGAGACATCATGTACATCGAGTTCTTCTCGCAACACACCCACCCCTGCAACTAAGTTAACTGTCCATTCTTCTTAAGGTAGAGTTGGACTGTAGCGTTACAGCCTGACAGGTGTTTTTTATTCTTATAACTTGTGGCTCATGTATGACCCCACTTACAGATCGCTGTTGTTATCAAACTGTCATGGTCTGAAGTCCCACCCTTTCTCAGAACTATGGGTGGGCGCCTGAAATCGCAACGGAGTCGCAGAAAAGCCTCTATTTAGCAAAAAAGCAGATTATTTAATAAGTTGGGTACGGTATTTTCTACGTTAATGTTCCCTCTCCTTACTGCCAATAGTAACAGCTACGTGCAATTTTGTTCTACAGAGAGTGATCGTATGATCGTGAATGGTAGTGGTAAGGCCATTGTGAGGTTCCACTTTAATCTACCCACAAATACTGGAATTTTCCAATGGCAGGAACTGGAATTATGAATCATCCTGCTACTCCTGTTTTCAAAATCGATAAATAGTAAAGTTAGCCCAGTCAACCTCTGCCTTTCTGACTTTCTGAGTTCCGAAGGAAAGAAAAATTTCATTACAAAGCTTATTCAAGTCCTTCCAACTACAATTTACCTACCACTGCGGGAATGGCACCTTCCTGACCGCCGGATCATGTGGTACAGCAAACTGCGACCCGTTTATTCGAGTGGATGTCGTCGGCGATGTAGCACTGACTCCTGCTGTTCCGTGTACCGTTGGTACCGATGGCTTCCGTGGAACTGGCCGTGCCGGAAGCGTCGGACCAGCCGGACCCGGCATTGGCGGCATTTGTGGCATTTGTGATGACATCTGTTGACGAAGCGTTGGTAACGCCATCGACGACGCCATCTGAGGTGGAAGAAACGGGACACGAAATTGTGCAGTTTGCTGGGCGATCAGTTGTCGTTGAAGCTCGAGGAAGGCGGGATTCAGAAGCTGAAATGAACAGATTAAGTACAAGCTCGTGTTTTTTTTTTGAGGAATCTCCTCTTTGATCCGTATCGAACACTTCCCTTGATTTTCTGATAGTTCTACGAATGTCCCCGCCGATTTCGAATCTTCAAAGGATGCAGGGAACCATCTGCTCAATTTTAGGCTAATCGCTGAATACTCTATTTAAAGGGGACTAACGTAAAGGTCCTCTATTGAACTGGATGGTACTGAAGAGTATCCTAGACCCTAAGGACTAGGGCTCAATCAAGGCTGGTCGACCTCGGCTACTGGTATCTGATGCATAGAAGTACACGGCCAAACTCTGTAATCTGTTTCGGTTCTGAAACCAGCTCCTTATTGATTTTTATTCTGAGTGATGAATTATTGATTTTACGCGCCCAAATGTCCTACACCGTGCTTGATAGGAACTGGAAGGAGTGCGGATGAGACAGTGTTCTGAGTAGGAACAATGACGGATAGAAAACCTATAATTCGGCATCTGAAGCCAGCGGCAAGGCTGCGGCTCAGGAAGGTTCTTTCCAATGCAAGTTCGAGGGTACCGAACTTGGTACCGTACTGACCGAATTTGGACGTCAGTCAATTCCTTCTAAGGGCTACGCCTTTGCATCCGACTCCCATTCAGAGTCATAGTGCGTATTGAATGTGTATGTAGCTTATACAATGACTTGGTCAGCTGATGCACAAGACAGTGCTTTCATGCTCCCAGACGAGTCTCTTACCAATTAACCGATTCCGAATAGATGGAAGGTTTGGTCGGCCTAGGCGGATACTAAATCGGGATTTGGACCCGTGATCATGCTGTGATAGGGCGCCGTTTGCCACTACACCATCTCCGCCACATTTTTCAGGCAGATTTCGGTTGTTTCAAAATCGGCGTTTCAGGTAAGGCTAGATGTTTTGAACATGGGTCAGCTGTAACATATGGAACTGCCCTAGTGAGCTAACATCGGGATCAGCTTCGTGCAAATAACACGACTGAAAGTATGAACGC